AAAAAAAAAAACTGTGTATGTGTTCTTCCTAACTGTCCTGCTAAATTGCTGTGTGTTAAAGCCAAATAGAATAACTGTGATGTAACAAAGGGTGAGAAGTAATTGAGTTTTCCTAGAGGAAGGAAATGGAGAATCAACGTGGAAAGACTCAGAGAAGAGAAACTAAAGCAGCTTACCCTGAAAGACGGGGTTTCAAGTGCTGTACCCAATTATTGATTAGTTTTGTTTTGTTTCCCTCTAACTCTGATGGCTTGGATTTCTCTTCTACTCTCTTTCCACATCCTCCTTTGTCTGGTGAAATTCTGTTTATCTTACAAGGCGCAGTTCGAATGTCACCTACTTTGTGAAGTCTTCCTGAGTTCTCCTCACTCCCCAGGCTTTCCTCCTTGGTGCTCTTATAGCATGTTTTTATTCCCCAATAACAGAACACATAAGGCATTATCTTATAGATGGTTTATGTTCCTTCTCACTCCCTAGTAAACTGGAAGCAAATGTCCCCATGGACCTTTCATTATCATATAAAATTTAATGTATTTTATTTCATAATGTATTTTATTTCATATATGTTAGTAAAAAAAATTTTAGTAACTGCTAATAATGAGAGATGGTAGAGTACAGTGGTTAAGCTGTGGGCTCTGGAATCAGACAGACCTGGGTTCAAATGCTATGAAAACATGGGCAACTTATTTAGCTTCCCTGGGCCTCAATTTTCTTATTTGTAAGAGAGGAATAATGATGCTCACCTCAAATGGGTTGCTGTGAGGATTGAGTGAGCTAATACAGGCAAAGCCTTTAACAGAATGCATGCGTGGCACATGCTACTTGCTGGATAAATGTCAGTTCTTATTACATGATACATACATGTTTATGTTCTGTTTTCATTTAATGTTACTTAGTGTACCTATTTCCAAAGAAACTTAACTGAGACACCAAAAGTAACTCTTTGTTCTTTGTAAAATATAATTTTACTTTATTACAAGGCTCTCAAGTTTTAAAGATATGTGAAATTGTATTTGGTTCTTTTCATCTCACGAAGAGTTTGAAAAGCTATGACCTTAACTTAATATTTGACATTATAAGATATTCATAGATTACTCAAGTATTCCTTGTTAAATGTAGAACAGAGTAATTCATTACATCAAATAATTAGAAACAATATATTTGTCCAACAGTAGTGGAAAGGTTATGTTCTCTGTGGTGTATCTTCTGGACGGAATAAAGTGCAGCCGTTAAAAATGCTGTCTGTGAAGACTACGTGATGATATCAAAATACTCCTGATAACAGTGTAGAGGGAAACAATCAGGATGTGAAATGTATACAAATATGCTTATAACTATGTAAAAACTAGATATTATCCAAAGTGCTTCAGTCCCTGGATTTTGGTGTAGTCATTTTTTTCCATTTCTCGTATGTTTCATAGTGTGCTGCTTATTGTTTTTATCATTAAAAGGGAATTGTTAATGGGCTAAAGTAAAGTGATTGGAATGAAATACATTTCTACCAGTTAATCATCGTTTGGCAGCACCCAGAAGAGGACTGCTGCATACCCATTCAGGATTCTGTTCCCCAGATTTGTCTGGAAAGCCCTATTTCCTTTTGACTATGTTGAGCCCAAGGTTGAATGGCTGCAGGGAGAGTTAATTCCTGTGCACTGGGCAATGTTTCCATTTTGGTTCTTTCTTTGCCTCCCTCCACTAACTTTGTGGACTCTGGGAAGAACTGAATCTGGAGAACAAATTATACTTTTAATAGGATTTTTATAGTTCCATATTAGGTTAAATATATTTAACTTTGGTTGTATTATTAAATATAATATAACAAATAACAACACACTGCAATTACGTGGTTTTGCATGCTTTAAGATTTGAGGGCACTTTAAGAAGGTTTATTTTCATTTATTTTCCTACCTTGCCTGGTAAGGGTGGTCATAAGTCATTAGTAAATGAGGAGACTGGTGAGACCTCATTTGCAGCGAGGCCATAGATCCTCTGCATTTCTGGTCTGCTGTTCCTTTCAGTGAGCCTTGTTATCTACTTATGGT